CGCGCTAGCCTAAGGGCCACCTTAGCAAAGCGCATCCCAGGCTGCATAGCCGCACTACCCTACCCAACCATACCACACATAAACATGACACTACCCCCGGGGTTTACACAGACGAGCCGGCGAAGCAAGAAGAGCGCCAGAAGAAAGGGCCCTAGCCGGCGGGGCCCAGCCAGGACAAAAGGAGGTCCCACAAAGCGCCTACACCGGCCGCATTTGCGGTCGGGGTAGACGACGGATGGGGCCCACCTACGAAGGCTGTCCAGGCCTACACGAGATGAGGCAGGATAAAGAGGGATAATCCCCCTCGATCCCAAATCATTGAGGCCAATTTCTAGCCATAGAATAATGGCGCGGCGTGTTGTACCTTCATATTCATAGTCAAAGGTTCATTTTGATCATTTAAATGTTGATAAATTCACTCTCTGCAAAAGCTGAGTTGGAAACTACTGTTCGACCAATAGCTAATGGCCGACTGGAAAATCAAGTAACCTCTTGAGTGTGTGTGCGTGTCATGTTTTTAATTGTCAAAAATGGTTCAAGCCGGGTCGAAAAAATCCACAGTTTCAAAAATAAATAGTAAAACTGGAATCAGTAGTTTAATTATTTTTGTAGTATTACTGTTAGCATGGATCGCCGGTTTTTCATCACGATTATTTGCAGTTATTAGATTTGAGAGTATAATTCATGAATTCGATCCTTGGTATGTGATGTGCCCAAATAGATATTCTGTATTATAGCATTATAATATTTTTAGGTTTAATTATAGAGCTACGGCTTATATGGTAAAACATGGTTTTTACAATTTTTTGAACTGGTTTGATGAAAGAGCATGGTATCCGTTGGGAAGAATTGTGGGGGGTACTGTGTACCCTGGTTTAATGTTAACATCAGGGAGCATACACTACATATTACATTTGCTTCATATAAATGTACATATTCGTGATATATGTGTATTTTTGGCACCAGTTTTCAGGTAGGTATACAACAAAGTACAATTTTCTTATTAGACATTTCCTAAGAATATTAAGCACTTAAGTGCGTAACAAATTTTCTGTATTAAAATGATATTTTTTGCCCAAAACTGACTCGGAGAAATGATTGAATTGCAGAAAAGTTCATATAAACGTAAGGCAATTTTAATTATATATATAAAAAAAAGTTTAGGGTTGCCATTCATTCCAATTCCTATTAGAATGTTCTGTAACTGACAGATATCTAAAAAGTGCTACTTTGTTACTTTTTAATCAGTTTTGAAAATTTAGTGTTCTTCTAAATTGTCTACTATTAGAAATAAAAAATTCTACCCTCAGTACTTGTTTTCAATATTAAATCGTGTGTACATATATTTTCTTTTATTCCCTAAGTGAATTTGTATTTGTGTGTGCACAAAAAATATTGCAGTGAGTTAATTGAATATATTTTTGAATTAAGAATTTATTATACTAAGTATGAGAATAAATATATATATATATATA